ATACACAAGAAACGTCGATGGCCCATAAAGCAAAAATTTTTATTATGTTTCAACTTGTTAGAACAAGTATCTATATTGCAACAAGGACATAAATATTGACCATAAGTGCACCATCCAGATAAATTTCCATATGCTAGAAAGTTGTTTATAGTCCATAAGAGGGCAACTCGAAATTGAAAACCCTCTTTTCTAGATGTATCATAAGTTTCACCCCAGCTTCCCATAATTCACTTGACTCTTCTATAAGGGGTTCTCGGAACACATCAATGTTATTTCCAAGCCCTGTAGGACCTAGAATGAGCAAAGACAAAATAAATGAAGGCTTCTCCATACATAACCATGGAAGTAGATTATACAGTACTAAAATTACTGACCATGTACTATAAGCACTTGAAAGTGTACCAAAAGAGTTGAACCCGTCACTAGCCAATTCTAAGCGAACATTCGTGATTCTTTAGAAAATTCTGGATGCAAAGAGTCAAACATTTTCCAAGGCTTAGAATCAGTAGGATAATGTAAAAGTCCATCTTTGTTGCGTTTTTCGTGATGCCAGCTCATTAGATCAGAATTTTTTGATGACATATATAATCTTTGTAACCTTGGTTTTAGAGGGAAATGCCTTAGTACCTTGGCTGCAATTTTCTTTTTCTTTTCCTTGCTTGTATCTTTTGTATCATTCTTATTGAGTTTGCATCTAGAGGCACCACATTTTGAGCATTTATCATCATTAGCATGTTCTTTCCTAAAGAGCATACAATCATTGGAGCAAGCATGGATTTTTTCATATTTCAAACCCAACCCTTCAATTAATTTTTTTGTCTCGTTCAAAGAATGTGGCAACTTTTCACCCTCAGGCAAGGCAGCCCTCAATAGCCCAAGCAAAGCATTAAATAAATCATTACTCAACCCAAACAAGCATTTCACATGGTAAAGATGTAACAAAAATGAAAGTTCACTAAATTTCTTGCATCCTGAGTATAGTTCTTCATTTGCAGATTTCATTAATTGTTCAAACTTATTGACTTCTACACAAGCCTGATTCCTCTTTATGTTTGGCTCCACTCCATCACTTTCATCAAATTGAACATCCATGGGTTAAGTAAAGCCTTCAAAAGTATCATGAATCAATCCTACCACATCATCACCCCAAAAAGCTTCTTGCCTTTTATTGCTTTGCCAAATTGGATTTGACATGTCCATTGACTCCCCATGACAAAACCAAGTATCATATGATGGAATGATACCATGAACTACAAGAGTGATCATTTGCTTGTGTCCTATTTACATCGTAGTATAGAACACACTCTTTGCAAAGACAAAGAACTGTTTCCCCATCATCTTTGTTGGTAAAGGTATAGTCAAGAAAATTTTTAACACCATCCAAATATTCCATGCTAACTCCATCATACGTTATCCATTCTCTACTGCTATTATTTTCCATAACTAATGACTAGAAGAAAAGAAAAAGAATAAATAAATAAATAAATCAATTCTAAAAGAGAAAAAGGGTTATACAATAGCAACAGGGGTATAGATAGATAATTAGGACTCAAGAATGAATAAAATGTGAAGCTAAATTGATTCTTGAAAAAAGGAAAATTCTAAGTTATCCTATAGTGTGCTGCAACAACTATTTATATAAATTTGAAACTTGCAACAACTACAAATTCTGAATAAATTATATGAAAGTTGAGATAAATTCATCAAACCTACTCAATATTTAATTACTGGTTAAATTATTAAAATATACTGTCATTTGTTTTTCTGTAAAGGTATTTCATATCAATAAGCAAGATAAATCATTGTGAAGAGTAACCACAGATCCTGTCTAAATAAACAAATAGTAACCATAGATTATAACCCTGCATATTTGACATAAGCTTTTCAATTTCCAGTTTTAAATAATGCATGGATCTCATAAATTGAACAGATTTGAGCTCTTATCCCAATGGACCCAAGTCAAAGAATTGAATTTTCTATATTCAAGCCCATGAGGGTTGATTATTGAACAATCGTCATGAATCTTATCTAGGCACATTTCTCAAGTATTTCATTATAATGGAAAGCTATTTGGCTCTGGCGGACAAGAATAAGAATCTTGTTAGGGAACCACTTTGCAAAACTCACATAATTCTCCTTCCACATGATTTTCCCATGCTTATTATAATATTTTTTGGGGTGAAAAATGGATGAAGTGCTCCAATTTTTGAATGACAGAAGAACAACAACCACTTGAGAAATGTTTATGTCCATGGTTGGGGAATTTAAATAAAGTGTATAATTGTAATAAATTTTTGTGTTGGACAAAGAATTACTTTCCTGGCATTGCATAGAGAATGGTCTTTTAGAGCATATAATAATTGCAAACATGGTGAATATAAATTATACAAAATTATTATCTTTAGCCATCTCCCTGCCATGCTGATGTCTTCACAAGTGTGTCATATGATGTGTACGTCAATATTCACATATCAGACATGACACCCATTTCCATGCTTCTTAGGCTTCATTTAGAACTAGTATGCATATCTTGACTTAATTAATGGTAAACATTTTTGTAAAATCAGACTCCAACAAATATAATAATTTTCTTTATGAAAAATAGTATAATTGAAGGTCTACCAGTGACATGGATAGCAACCAGGTCTTCAACTCATTTGAAAGAAATCAAATAAGACAGACAACCTACACAAACGAAGAAACTTGTAAATTAACAGATGCATTCCCCATATTCATGAGCGAAAAGCATTTTGTGCTAGTTTGTCCTCAATAGTCAAGTTATCAAATAAGGACTTCAAAATAAGGCATTGAACAACAAATAATCAAATATGTTATCACCTTTTCTTAGGAATTACCAAATTCATCACTGTAGAAAGAACTAGAAAACAAAGCAGTTACCATGCATGACTCATTTTAAGAGCAAAATTCCTATGGTGATAGCACAATTCATGCAAGAGTAGATGTATCCAATCTATGTAGCTGAACATTCTATCTAATTGAAAATTATGTTGGCAATGTTTTAGATAAAAAACTATTCAAATCTTATTTACAAATAAGACCTAAGGGCCTATCTATAGAGGTGGTTTAAAAATTAGCCATGGTACTGGAAGTCTTAGCAGGAATTGATATCCAGTTATTAGAACTGAAAGTCTTGATGTCTACTCCTACGGTTGGATTTTTGAACTAAGTTGACAGTTAGGCGTCCACTTACTCCTATGTTAAATTTATTCTATCTGAATCTCAACTTCCTACAGTAGTGGTTTTCATAATGACCTAATTGGACATCCATTTCTCATCCAAAGTGAGAAACAAATCCAAGAAGGTTTTAGAACACTTTCAAACAATCACTTGTATCTATGTTAAAACATTGTTGTGCTTCCAATAGATCTAGATTGTGCAACCACAAGCTCAAAGCCTCCCATAAAAAGCAAAAATTAACAATGGAATACTAAGAGAAAATCAAGATTCCAGATATACAATACCAAATTATGATTCTAAATTCCTAATAAATGAAAACCAACTTATTTTATTTGGAGTGATCATCGAAAGAAAAATGCTAGGGGATCTCCACTAGCAAGTCTCTGCATGTCCAACTAGAGTTTGTGGTCACCGCCGTGGCTTCACTGGAAGTTGAGAACTAGGGTTCATGTGTCTAAAGTTGGCTCCTTAGGTTAGGGGGTGTTTCCCAGCCATTTGGTTAAGGGCCATCACAAGATCCATCCCAAGGCCCGTCTGGTTAAGGGCTTGTGTAGAAATGACTTTTATTTAATAACTTTATTCTTTTTATTTATTTTTTATTTAATAACTTTATTTTAATGCTCTTTTACGTCGTGAAACTTGAATCATTTTATAAATCCAAAAACCATTGTGTACTTTCCAGTAATAAAAATTAATTAATTTTTAAGTAAAATCCTATTATATACATGTATATTAATTTGTTGGATTAATGTTTAACTTTTTTTCTTTATGAGTAATTACTTTTTAGTTAAAGAAAATTAATTTTTAGCAGCCATTGGCTATAATTGTTTGCAAAGAAAAGTAAATTAATAGCAATCATATAATTGTTAGTAAATAATGAAATTTTACATATATTAGTAGCAATTATTTAATTGTGTTTAAATAATTTCTAGTAAAAGTATAATTTGTTGTAGTGATTCTTCACAAAATTTTGTGTTGATACAATTCAAGAATATATATTAAAATATATATTTTTAAAATGATTAATTTTTCTTGTAAAAATAACTGCCACATCTGATTATTATTCTGAATGAAGAAAAAAAATAAAAAAGAATATGATTCACAGAAACATCAAGATGAAAAAAATAAGAGAACAGGAAAATACTTTTAGTGATTTTGATAATTTTATTAATACTGCTAAAAAAATTAAAAGATAAAAAAGAAACAGAAATAGCATCATAAAATAACTTAGTATACCGTGCATTAAATTCACATAAGTTCCTATTTAAATGTACAGCAAAATTAAGAGTAAACTTATCAATTAAACATTTTATATAATCATATATTTGTATATATAGTACATAGTATATTGTATCATATTCACCAGAATTGTCGTACAAATATTGTTAAAGATCCCAATTCCACTAGATAGCTTTTCGAAATTAAATTAGCAAAGTTTGTCTTCTCCGGTTGCTGCAATTACTAACTCTCACCACCTCCCCCAATATATATATTATATCTGTGTGTGTGTGTGTGTGTATATGTATGCATTCCAAAAATCTAACATTATACAAATGGAAATGGCTGTGCTAGATAGACCTGTCATGATGCATGATAATAAAATTATGTATAAAAAAATGCAAGTAATATATCTTGTTGTAATAAGTAGACATTTTCAAAATTTTATCATGACAAATTTTATAAATGTAATAGCGACATGAAAATGGAAAAGCATTATTTTTAAAAAAAATCTTAATTTTCTTATATACAAGGATAAAGTTCTTATGAAAAGTCAGAAAATTTTAAGTTATATATAATTGAAAATGACTGTAATGTTATTCAATTATTATGATAAAATATAATTTAAGTGAAAAATAAAATAAAACACATTTGTAAGTTGTGCCATGTGATTTGTGTTGAGTCTAGTAATAGCATGATTTATATTAAAATTACAAAATTAAAGGTAGAAATATGTAAAATAAATAACAATGACTTTAATACTAATACAAAAAAAAAAAAATACAATGTGTTTATATCAAGAGGAATAATGAGACTTAAAGATTTAATGACTTACAATTTGAGATGATAAAAGAGGAATTTTTTTTTATATTGCTTCTCACATGAATGGGTGGACTCACCTCTCAATTGTGTGGGTCCTATCTTTTCATATGAGAGATAAAAATAATATTTTTGTACCTAATATCACGAGATGAGGGAAATTGATTCTTGGATTAACGTGAAAATAATTACGATTGAAAATAAAGAGTAACTCATGCCACATGATTATCAATAAAAGATTAAAAATAAACAAATTTATAGAAAATGAAGCAGCCATCTACGTGGCAATGGCTTTGGGCTAGCTTAGTAAATATAAAACAAACTTGATTTATTTTCCAAACAAAAAATTCAAACTATAAACTGGATGCAGGTTGATTTAAAAGGCGACATATCAGGCTACTTATCGAGCCACCCCCAGTCTCCATTGATGTCCCTTCATCACTTTGACCAAATAGAGCCTATCTTCCCCTCCCTCGACCGCTTCCAATCTGCAAATCACCTCATGAAAACGGCAAGAGTGGACCAGTCTCGCATGCTCCAACAAACCATTTGCTACCACCAGAAAACCGACTGGTCCTTCTCAATCTCCTGGGGATACTCCGCCCACATCTACGAGAACATCATACCCAGAACCATGTTGAAGAGACCCCTCGAGACTTTCGAGCCGTGGGTCAATCGGAAAGAGCCACCCCATTACTTGTTCAACACGCGATGGCCTCCCTTCTCCGATGACTGCAATGCTCCTCATGTTTTCTTCTTTGACTCCATTGACACTTCCAAAACCGACCAAATTGTTACCACCTATGTTCGATCCAAGCCAAGGGGTCTCGAAACTTGTTCTTCCAGTGGCAATCACTCCGCCGATCACATCTCCAAGGTCCGGGTTTTCTCGCCTGCCACAAAGCTTCTTCGCGTAAGTTTTATGCTTCTCTTTTATTTCTTATTTTTCTTCAATCTTTTTCTTTCTCCTAGTTCTAGATACAAAATTTTACAGGCATAAAAGTTTGGCAAAAATTACAAATGAAGTCCTCGCACTTGATTTCCCTATTCTCTTTGGTTGCCAAACTTCCAATTATATCAATTAAAGCCCTGTAATTTCACCCAATTCTATTAGGTCCATTTATTACCAATGTTAAAGAAAGTAAACAAGGGGACCAATTAGAAAATAGATAAAGTTTGGGGACCAAGTAGAAAAAGCTTTAGCAACTTGCAAGGTTATGGTTTGCTCTTGAGGAAAGTTTTGACGCTGCTATTCAGAAGAGTGCCCTTATAGTGAAATGAGATTCACACTTTAACGTGCACATGTGCATCACACTATAAGAGAGGAATGCACTATTTTATTTTTTTTTTAAAGTAATGTCAAATAAACTGTATTACAAGCGTGTTTGATTCTTGTCTCAGGTTGTGGATTGATTTTTCATTTTCGTATCTTAACTTTTTGCAAAAAGTTTTTCTGTCCGTGTTCATGTTTCGAAGTTTTGAATGTAATTTACTTTCAAAAATAGAGAACTTAGTTCTCTCTCATATTGGAAATAAGCAGTCAATTAATATTAGTTATATTCCACTGCAGGTTGAGAAAAGCGAATGTTGTGACATTGTAGATACAGGTAGACGGGGTATTGCTGAGATCAAATATAGGGATTGCAAGCATGATGAGATAATTGCTTAAATGGATGAAACATTTATATGTGACTTTATATTTTCAGTCTTAATTTTTCTTTTTCTTTTTCTTTTTCTTTTTCCCTTTCTTTAATTTTCTCTTTTATCCAAGCATGTGAAAATATGAATTGAGGCCCATTTTCCAAGCAAAAACTTTATATGCTTTAGGAAATTAACCTATCAAATTGTTGTTTGCAATTGTTGTTTCTCTCAATATAAATAATTTATTTTTCTTACGAAGAATTTTGTTTGATAATTTATTTTTTGTTAACTTCGTTTATAATTTTGATTTCATGTTTTTAATGCTGAACAGAGTCTAGTACAACAATGCTACAACTAAGGTGAAAATGAGTTGAGTTAGGCTATGGTAATCTTAACTTAAGTTTGGCTCACTTAAATTTAGATCAGCTCATAACTCAATTCATTTTTCAGTAAACCAATCTTTTGGCTTAGGTTCAGCTTGTGCTAAGCTCACGAGTAACTCGGCTCGACCCATTAATTCACATATATCAAAAAAAAATAAAACAAAAATATATATATATATATAATATAGATCCCATTTCAACATTACTAACAAACAATTGATTATAATTATAACTTAACAATGTCTCTAATAACAATTTAAATTAATATTAAAATAAACTATTGTGCATAAAAATAAGAGTAACTAACCAACTAACATTACAAATTTTTTAATATCATAAAAACTTCCAGCTTTAGAATTGACTCCCTGAAATTTAGAATTGTTTTAATTTTGTCTCTAAATTCTAATTTATTCATGAAAGTCTCCAATTGTGTGCAAAATTAACAAATTGATTGAGCATATATGTGAACTAAATCAGATACACATGTGCACACGTGCACAAACACATACACACACTACCAAAAAAAGGAAATTAGTAATTGTAGATTAGTGACCACAGGAATAGGTCACTAATTAGTTATCGATTAGTGATCTATTAGTAATTAATCAACCTCATTTTTTTTAAAAAAAATAAAGTAATTGATTTGTGATCAATTTATGACTGATTATGTGACCTCAATTACGGCGATCACAAATCTATAACAAAATTAGTGACCAGTAGTATTTTAGTTACTAAAAGGCCACTAATTAGTGACCGCATCTAAGATGGTCACAAAATGAGTCATTAATTAGTGACAAAAACTGTGGTGGTCAGAAAATGGGCATTAATTAGTAACTGCAACTATATGATTACAAAATGGGCCACTAATTAGTGACCTCATCTTAGTTAGTCAAAAAGGGGGGGCTACTAATTTAGGTGTGAGCTTTAAATTCGATTATTAATTAGTGGCATCCTATTTTGACAGTTACAAAGGGGGTCACTAATGGTGACTCCCTTTCTAGCAGTTACAAAAGGGGTCACTAATTAGTGACCCCTATTTCTGACATATCTTTGTTCAATTACAAGCATATATCAGAGTTTATTTTCCAAGTCTTGGCCTTTGTCTTACAGTCACCTATTTTTTCAGTTATAAGCAACATTCTGTTAAGTTACAAGTAGATTTCTATTCAGTTACAAGCAAACCTCAGTTCAATTACAAGCATAGATCTACGTTTAGTTCACAAATTCAATTTTAAGTCTTACAAAAAAAATTGATTCAGTTACAAGCAGCGTTTAGTTCAATTACAAGCAGGAACTCGTTCATTATTAGGAGCGACTTGTTAAGTTATAAGTATATTTCCGTTTAGTTACAAGTATTTTTCAAATCTGAGCCTTTGTCTTACAGAGACCTATTTGTTCGATTACTAAGTTACAAGCAGAGACTCGTTCAGTTACAAGCATAATTCTGTGCTTTTTTAACAAGTTCAAGCTGATGTCTTACAACTATCTATTAGTTTTAGTTATAAGCAAGGACCCGCTTAGTTACAAGCAAGGACCTGCTCAGTTACAAGCATACCTCGGTTCAGTTACAAGCATATATTAGAGTGTTTTTGAGACTCAGCCTTCATCTTAAAGTTAGCTATTTCTTTGATTACAAGTAGCATTTTATTAAGTTACAAGTAAAGACTAGTTTAATTATAAATATATCTCCATTCAGTTACAAGCACAAATCAGTGTTTACTTCACAAATTCAAGTTCGTCTTAAAACAAAATACTAGTGTGATTACAAGCAACATTTTACAAGCAAGGACCTGTTTAGTTACAAGCATGTATCCTTTCAGTTACAAACATATCTCAGTTTAGTTATAAGCATATATCAGAATTTATTTTCAATGTCTAAGCCTTTTGTCTTACAAACACCTACTTGTTTGGTTACAAGCAGCGTTTTGTTAAGTTATAAGTAGAGACCAATTCAGTTACAAGTAGGTCTCCATTTAGTTACAAGCATAGATATGCCTTTCTTTCACAAATTTAAGCCTAAGTCTTGCAACAATCCATTGGTTTGGTTAAAAGTAGCGTTCAATTCAATTACAAGCAAGGATCTATTCTATTACAAGCAAAAACTCATTCAATTACAAGCACATCTCTATTTACTTGCAAACATATATCAGAGTTCTTATCTTACACACTTATTTATTCAGTTACAAGTAACATTCTTGTCACACCCACCCCCTTAATCATATGCTAGGTGTAGTAGCGGGGCAACAACCAATAAGCTACTGTGGCAAAAATTCTGCAGCATGCCAGATGTTGTGACCCCTCTATCTAGTTAGCTTGTGACTTCTAAAAACTGTATTTTAACAAGCATCCATGCAATAATCACTACTTGGCATGCCACCAAGATATATCAAACATCACGTAGGTCAAAGGCCACCTAAACCTATAAGCTGTAATGACAATGCATGCATGGATGATAAGTAGAACTAATTGATGTGCATAACCATTTGGAAGGCTATTTAAATTACACCATAATCATAATATCTATACATATGCAATTGAACTCTCTAATTTTGTATATATGGTTTTCCCTGGGTAGTTACTTGACAATAACAAGATTATATGGCACTATCCCTGGAGATCTGGGCCCACTTGTCTATGATGTGCACGTAGTTATCAAGTGCTAGACAAGTGATCAAGATAACTAATCAAATAGTGGATCTACAAGGGAAGAAAAGGAGTGAGACAAAAGTCCCCATGAATGGCATACTACCTAATCCTAGTGGAAATAGTCAAGTTTTGTTAATACAATATTTATAGTTACTATTCTATAAAATTTCAGAGCAAAAGTATAGCAAATAAAATAGCATCAATGAAATCAAGTCTATATCATGACATCCAGTCATAGCATAAGCAAATGTAAACATAAGGCATAGGACAATAATAGCAAAGTATAAAAAGTCATTAAGAACCATAGTGTATATTCATGTGTGTGGTCTGGTCGAGTGCGCACAACGGATAATGGTACGTTTGGGGACAATAGAACATAAAATCTATGAAGTATCGTCTGGCCCTAAGGGGCAAAATATGCTAGGTGCTGCTGTGACTGTGTAATTCGTATTGAGGGCTGCCGCCATTCCTTTAATTAAACTGGCATAATCTAATGCTGCTAGGATCCCCTACCAAATCCAAATCCATATCATATAACATATAATATCATAACATCATGCATATAGAACTACCACTTGCCCTGAGTGGTTGCTTGACATTTCTACTCTGGTGCCAAAGCACAAAATATCATGAAAACATCAAATCCATCATATAACAAAATCAAAACATAGCTAAAATGTTTCCCTTTTTGAGTATCAACATACAAATAGGTTTGAAAATAGTTGTTGTTGGTTGTAAAAACATATTTTGGAAAATAAACTAAGATTAGGAAGATGCCATTCATTGTTAATATGATGTCTATGTTTGAGGCTCTAGAAATGAGGGTTCCTGTGCTAGCACAAGCTTGTCTTCATCCCCTATAATTTAATCATATATATATGTAAGTAATATGGTTTAAATATGAGAGGTTTAGTTTGGCTTGGTGTAGTTTTAGACCGGTTTGGGTTGGTTCGGGGGTTTTGAAGGTCGGTCTATGGTTCGAGGATTGTGGAGGCTAGTTCATTATTCTTGTGGTGGTTGAGAAGAATTAATTAATGTTCGTGAGTCATGTGGGTCTTGATGTTAGATAGTGGTGCCACAGGATGCGTGTTAGGAGCTTGGATATGGGGGAGGTCCTAGGGCACTTCCAATGAGTGAGTCTTTTGGAATAAATTCGATTTCGATTCTGACTTGCGACTTCGTAATTGTAGATATGTCTGAGGAGGCGTTCTTTGGCCAGTGAGCCATCTGTAAGGGTTTTTGGATATCAGTTTTGACGTGTACAATGAGTAACAGTACTTTTTAGACATTTGTCTGCACTTTGGTTTTCTATGAGTTTTTATGTTTTGATTCTTGAATTATGGTATTATTAAATTTCGGGACATGTATCTATCTATTCTAAATTACAATAAGCTTGAAAATATTTCTATAATTATTTACATATTTACCTCAGTAATACATGTGTTTTTAAAAAATTAACCTGTCGAGGTTTTATGTGATCTGTTTCTGAGGAACACGGTGGTGTTCTGACACTATGTGCCTTTTATGATTCTGATAATGGTTCTGATTTTGGTATGGGATCCTGATACAATATGTGACATGTGTGATCTAATTCTGAAGAATACAGTGGTGTTCCAGCACTATGTGCCTTCTGTGATTCTATTTCTGATTCTAATTCTGGTACAGGATCCTGATACAATATGTGATATGTGTGATCTAATTCTGAGGAACATAGTGGTGTTCTAGCATTATGTGCCTTCTTGATTTTGATTTTGATTTTGATTCTGATTCTGGTTCTAATTCTGATTTTGTACGGGATCCTAGTACGAAATGTGATATGTGATATGTTCTGATACTCTGACAGGTGTTTGATTTCTGATTTTGACTTGTGTATATATAAAATATGTGTTACTTGAGGCAAATATGGTTTTATGTAAACTATGCTATTATGTAGAATTTGAGATGATATTTGTGCTTTGAATATTTATGATTCATGTTCTCACATGTTTGGAGTAGTAGT